GCAGTGCAATGGCTTCTGGGATATTAGAGGACTGTGTGTGTTTCTCGTGCCTCGTTCTAAAGGCTCCCAACAGCCTTCCACCCCTAAAAGTGATGTGGGGCGCTAAAGGGTTAAAGAGGTGTGACATGGGCTGTCTTCCTCTCTGTCTGTGACACTTAAACGGGTATACCCACTACTGTGGAATCTCGTTTCTGACAGAAAAGGAAAAAACTAAAAATGTAGGCATAATAAAAACGAAAATACTCAGTAAGTTGATATTATACAAAGATACAATGGTGAGATATCTCATAAAACAAAAAAATACTTTCTCATAATAATGACTTGCCATGAAAATACATAGCTTTGTTTTTCCTTCTTTCAGACATGGGATTCTATACAATACTGACTTCCATACATTAAAATATATCTTCACCTGCATGCAGACCCACCCCACAAAGATGTGCTCACATGGCTACACAACTGTGAAACCTGCTCGCTAGCTTATTTTCACACTTAATTCATGGTTTCTTTCTCCTCTTTGGTTTCTGTTGCACAAATACCTGCTTGCTCTGTCTTTTCACTCTACAGCCCTCCTCTTTAGCCTTGTTAGCGACCTCCAGGTAAAGTAAATAGTATAATAATAATGTGATAATGCTGCTGTCAAGTAGACCATACTGTAACTGTTTGCTGTTATGGACAACAGTGGGAAGTTGAACATCTTTTGGTTAGTGTTAATAATTGTGATACAGCGTTGAGGATGTGAGTATGTTTTGTTGAGCAGGAGTCAGGTTTGAAGGTGAACCAGCCAGCGTCATTTGCCGTCAGCCTTAATGGTGCGAAGGGTGTAATCGATGCAAAGGTCCACAGCCCATCTGGAGCTCTGGAGGAGTGCTGCGTCACTGAGATTGATCAAGGTAACCACAGGGGTGTCATCCAAATTCACCTAAATACCTCCTGACATTGCATGAAGTCATGTTTTGGGAAGAATTTTGATGGCAGCGCTGGGCATGAGAACATGTTGTCATGTGCCTTATTGTTCTGTTTGTGTAGATAAGTACGCAGTTCGGTTCATCCCCAGAGAGAACGGTCTCTATCTAATTGACGTGAAGTTCAACGGAAGTCACATCCCAGGTAGTCCATTTAAGATCAGAGTTGGAGAGGCAGGCCAGTCTGGAGACCCTGGAATGGTGTCTGCATACGGACCAGGACTGGAGGGAGGCACCACAGGTAACACACTGCTTCTCCACACAACATTATGGAAATAATGAAGCAGGACTGGAGGTAGATTTCTGCTCAAGTGTCTTTCCCAGTCCTACTAAACCTTTCATTTATCTTCACCATCCCCACGCTGTCTCATGACATCCAGGAACTGCTTGTGAGTTTGTGGTGAATACAAGCAATGCAGGCCCTGGCGCTTTAGCTGTGACCATTGATGGGCCCTCCAAGGTGAAGATGGACTGTGTGGAGTGCCCCGAAGGCTACCGGGTCACATACACACCAATGGCCCCTGGCAACTATCTCATCTCCATCAAGTACGGTGGACCTTACCACATTGTTGGAAGCCCCTTCAAAGCCAAAATCACTGGTGAGGAAGATCTGAAACATGCAAAATGAAAAGATTAACTTAATTAAAATACCTCACAGGTTAGCTTACACTCTCCCATCTTTCAGGGTCCAAGCTCGTGTCCAGCCACAGTATGCATGAAACCTCTTCTGTCATGGTTGACCCTGTGACCCGTGCCGTAAGCTGCTCTCAGCACGTTGCTCCCACCCAGTCAGATGCCAGTAAGGTGGCCGCCAAGGGCTTGGGTCTGACCAAGGGCTTCATCGGTCAGAAGAACAGCTTCACTGTTGACTGCAGCAAAGCTGGTGTGTATGACTTGGATGTTAATGAATGTTTATTTTCCTCCTTACCAAGAAATCTATCTTGAATAATCAGTCCTGAGCACACAATAAACGGTGTGCCTTCAGAGCAAAGAGGAAAAAAATTGAATGCATATAGGTTTTTGGGGGAAAGTTATGACAGAATAATTTAATTTCAGTAAGATATTATCCTAACATAACAGCAAAAACAATTTTGTTTGCTCATATTAGATTACTCTTTACATTTCATCAAGAAATCATTATGAAATGTATGTATTTGTAGCCTCATTTATTTATAGTCAGAAACTAAGCTAATAATTGTAATAATCGGTCTCCATCCACAGGTCGTAACATGCTCCTGGTCGGTGTGGATGGTCCCAAGGTCCCCTGTGAGGAGATCCTAGTGAAACATTTGGGCAACCGCATGTACAATGTCAGCTACCAGCTCAAAGAGAAGGGAGAGTACATCCTGGTGGTCAAGTGGGGAGATGAACACATCCCTGGCAGCCCCTACCACATCACAGTCTAAAACCCAGCCCCACAGTCAGAGCCTTATACCACTGTTTAAAACAACTGAATTCTGTTGAGTCTAATCAATCATTGTTTACATCTCCAAGTCCCTCCCGTGTTACAAATTCATATTTCCAGCTTTTTTTTGCTTACAATTTTACAACAGTTTAACCAACTAGAAAAAAAGTAAAAACTCACATCAGTGTTAACCCCCCATCCCAAATCCACTTTTGTTTTTCCACAAGTGAACATGTTAAAACAAACAACTTCACTGTAACCTAGTCAGAATCTCCAAAATATGAATGCATAGACACTGAAAACCTGGCTCTCCATGTCATGTTTCTGCTAATCACGTCATCCATTAATTCTAGGGAGAAGTTAAAGATGCACCTTTTTTCATTACTGTAAGCAAACAGTCAAATGTGCCTTAGGGTGTTTTACATTTTCAGTCATGGATGTTACATGGACATTAGCAGATTTGTCTGAACTAGTGCAGAATGATAGGATAGCTTAGCTTTAGTAGCAGTAGAGTTTGGCCCAGCTGAGCCTGCATTGGATGGAGGGTTACAGTTTACACTGGAGGAGCTACTCTTACATACATAAATAATGGATTGAGTTGTAAGACCCTTAATTGTTCCTATAAAAAGCAGATGAACCTTTTGTCATTTATTTATACAGGGGTAGTTTTTGTCTGTTGGTGTCCAGTAAACGCTCAGCACTGGCCCAGTCCACTCCAGCATGTGGTGTTCATGAAGCTCTTTAGTTGTTTTACCTGCTGCTAGTGTGATCCAGTTTTAGGCACTGCTGTTCTTAAGGCTGTAATACAGATTAGAGTAGGTTATGCAAAAGACAAATATGAGCCCGAGGATGCATTTCAGTCGCTTGCTCATGGTTTGTCTCACACATGCTCTCTCGACACTGCTGCTGGGGAACAATGCTTCTGTGTTTTAATGTGTGATACCAACATGTGCTCTGCATGTTTATGAACGTTGGGTTATAAAACTAGCGGTT